CATCTTCTTGAACTTCTCACACTCATGCTGGGGACTAAGAACACGCTTATCTCCCTGAGCCTGGCCTTCATAAGTCCATTCCATCACACAATGGAAGCCTTGGACTGCACTGCTCCTATATGGCCTTACCCTGTGTGCTGATTCTGGGGCACATCTTGGTTTTCTAAGGAGCTCCAGAAGTTGAAGTGCCAGGAAAGATACCCAGAGGCAATTAGAACAAATCTGATTGAAGAGCAAATCTGACTGAAGACAAGTGGGAGCCCAGATTTGAGTTTATACTTTGATGATAAGGGTAACAAAATGTCATTATTTCTCTATCCTTATTGCATCCACATAGCCATCCAGCAGCCCTGTTTAGTATAACCTATTCTCTGCTGGGGAGGGATGGGCCACAGGAACATATGTAGGGCCTCTGTGATACTAATGCTATTTGGTAGATAAAGTTATTCAGAGCCTTTCAGAGTTGGACCCTGACTGGGCAGATCCAAGTGAGATGCCTAAGGCACAGACTTGCAGAATTTGAATCTATGACTTCTGATGAAATGGACAAGATCCTCCAAACTGTGATTTCAGCCATCTGTTTTTTAGATCCAGGTCTCCGGGATCTAACAAACAGATGGCCCATCAGATGACCTGTAATTCAGTCATGTGATAAGATTGTCCTTTTTGAGGGAGGGAGTGGTCCCTCTGGCTGGAGATGGTGGGGCACTCCCTCCTCAAGAGGGTGTTGCTGGACCCAGCTCTTCTGGACAGTCTCTGACTTTTCCTTGCTTGAGAACGTGGGGGGGGGGGGGGGGCGGCAGTGCATTCATCCTTGTGCTTCTTGATCTCTCAATGGCATTCAATACTGTTGACCATAGTACCCTTCTGACTAGCTGCAAGGGATGGGAGTGGGAAGCACCATACTGCAGTGGTTCTTCGCCTTTCTCTCTGGTCAGATCCAGCCTGTGTTGATGAAGTGGAGAAGTTGTATCCATGATCCCTCACTTGTGGGGTGTTTTAGGGCTCGACGCTCTTGCTCTTCCTATTTAACATCTACATGAAACCTCTGGGTTAGGTCATCCATCAGTTTGGGGTTCAGTATCATCAATAAGCAAATGATATCCAATTATATATCTTGACCCTGGGCCACCCAGAGGATGCTGTCAATGACCCAGTGTCTGGAGGCTTTTCAGGTCTGGATGGGGAGGAAGAAACTCAGGCTGAATCCTGCCCAAAACCAAGTAGCTGTGGCTGTTCAGGTCCCCAGATTTTTCTTTGGTTTTGGATGGGGTGGTACTTCCCTATTCAAGACTAGTGCACAACTCAGACTCACAAGTACTGCTCCAAGAGTGGGTAGCAGCTGTGGCCAGGAGGGCTTTTGTACAGGTCCATCTTGTGACCAGTTGTGCCCATTTCTAGAACAGGAGACCCTTCAAATGGTCACTCATGCCTAGTCACTGGACTATTGCAACACACTCTATTTGGGGCTGCCCTTGAAGACCACCTAGAAGCTGGTGCAAAATGCCGTGGTATAAGCAGTAATGGGCATACCTTGATATGCGCATGTGTCATCACTGCTCTGCAAGTGTGCTGGTTACTGCTTGGCTTCCAGTGCAATTCAAGTTGCTGGTTGTCACCTGTAAAGCCTTCACGACATTGGATCTGATTGCTTGAGGGACTGCCTATCTCCAATGGTTGGGCAGAGTGGGGGCACTCCAGGTCTACTCAATTAAACAATGTCATCTAGTGGGACCCCGGAAGCATCCTTCTCTGTTGTAGCACCTGCCTTCTGGAACAGCATCCTCCCAGAGATGTCCACATTTCCCACTCTACAAGAGTTCCGCGAGTCTTTGAAAATTTGGCTTTGCTCCCAGGCCTGGGGCTAGGTTATGTGTTGAGCCCCTGAATTTTTTGGAAGAGCAATGGGTGATTTTGTACAGGCATACATGTGTTTTTCCCTTTTAATTTTTTTTTCCTTTTTCTTTTTTCCTTTTAACTATGTAAGCCACCCAGAATCATTTGGAAGTCAGGCAGCCTTCCAAAACTAAATACATAAATTAACTTACTTACTTTTGGTCTTTAACCCTCACCCTAAGTTTTATTTTATTGTTTATTTTTGTTTTCTCAACGAAACAAAATAAAGATGGATAATTCCAAGGTTTACAGAGCGGGAGATAATAACATCTGCAAGGTAAAGATTAAACTTAAGAACAAAAGAAAGAACAAAACAAATAAGAACCACAGAGAGGATTTGGAACAACAAATGAACTTACTAGACTCCATGCAGCCCCAAATAAAGGATCTTCAGTAGCCAAAGGATGACCAAGTGAGTCTGTTCCAGTAATTCCTACTAGCAATTATTATGCTCAGTTGGACTTGGAGTCAGAAGAGCTTCTTTCCTTAGAGGAAAAGCTCCCTATTGAAGATGGACATAAAGCAGAGGCTTGCCCCAGTCTAGATATAGTCTTGAGCCCATGTTACTAAAAATTGTCTACTGACAGCTCATTAAATTTATTTCAATTTACAATCAGCTAACAACAGTAAAATAGATGAACTCAGAATTCTGGCTGGAGAACATAAAAACGTAAGTAGTGCCCTTGGGCCATCTAGTCCAGCAATCAGTTCTCACAGTGGCCAACCAATTGCACAAGGAAGCCTGCTAGTCTCCCAGCAGAAGGCCTTCAGAGACAGTCACACTGCCATCAAAATTAATAGGCATTGATCCCCATGACTTCCATGAACTGGTCCAATCCTTTTTTGAAGCCAAAAAGGAAAAGGGAAAAAAAGGCTTTTCCTTGTTCTCTTTTATCTACATCATGCATAATTTTGTATATTTCAATTATGCCTCCTCTTATTCCCCACCTCTCTAGATTAAAAAGCAACCTTTCTTCATAGGGAAGCTGCTTCAGCCTCTTGATCATCTTAGTTGCCCTCCTCTGAACCTTCTCTAGCTCCACTATATCCTTTTTGAGATGTGGTGACTAGAACTGCATACAATATTCCAGATGTGGTTGCACCCATTATTTATATAAGCATTACAATATTGTATCTCTATCTGCAGTACCGTTTCTTATTATGCCCAATATGCTGTTGGACTTTTTTACAGCAGACGCATACTGTGTTGATACCTTCATTGAACTGTTTACCATTACTCCAAGGTCTCTTTCCTCATCAGTCATTGCTAGCTCTGATCCCATTAACTTGTATGAGTAGTTAGAATTTTTGGCACCAGTGTGCATCACTTTACACTTGCTCACATTGAATGGCATTTGCCATTTTGACACCCATTCCCTAATCTGCAGTGATCCCTTTGGATCTTTTCGCAATCCCTTATTGTTTTAACCACTCTGAACAACTTAATGTCATCAGCAAACTTGCCTATTCCACTAGCCATGTCTGATTCCAGATCATTTATAAATGATTTAAAATACACCAATCCTAGGATAGAACCTGGGGGACCCCACTAGCTATATCCTTCCATTGGGAGAAATCTCCATTTATTTGTTTTTTATTCTTTAGCCAGTTGCTTATCCACAAGAGGCCTACTCTTTTATTCTATGGATGTTAAGCTTACTGAGAAGTCTTTGATGAGGGACTTTATCAAAGGCTTCTTGAAAATCTAAGTAGATGATGTCTACATGCTCATCCTTATCCACATGTTTATTAACACCCTCAAATACTCTAGTAGATTAGCTAGATATGACCTTCCCTTAGTGAAGCCAGGTTGGGTATCCTTGAGCAAGGCCCGTGTCTCTAAATATTTGGTAATTTTATCTTTAATAACAGCTTCCAGTATCTTCCCCGGAACAGATGTTAAGCTGACAGGCCTATAATTTCCTAGATCTCCCTGTGAGCCCTTCTTAAAAATTGGAGTTACATTGGCCACCTTCCAGTCCTCAACTACAGAAATTGAGTGTAGAGACGGTTGCATATTTTAGTTAGGAGGTCCATAATCTCAGCTTTAAGATCCTTAATAACCCTTGGATGGATGCCGATCAGGGCCTGGTGATATGGAATATACTTCAAAAGTAGCTGAAGCAATTAAAAAAAAACTTTTCAAAAAACCTTTTGAA